TCAGCGGTCTCAAAAACAAGAATTTACTCAGCGTGGTCTGGCACAGACATTAATTAACACAGCTAAAAGCATGGCAGAAATAGTTTCCAAATGTCCAGACTCTACATCTGAACAATATCAAAGACCTCAGACTCAGGGTGACTGGACAAACATGATATCCTCAAGGATCTATCAGGCTCCTGTGCCTTCCATGAAGAAGTCAGCCAGCATTGGTCCCTGTAGGACCCTCTCTGGAGTCGGGCAACCACGTCCTTTCCTAAAAAAGTCCATTAGTTTAGGTTCTAGATGGGAACATTTTGAAAATCCAAGAACTTGTGTCTCTGAGACCTGCTACAGAGATGAATTTCCCCAACCAGACATAAGGCTCAAATCATATAGTTTGGGTCGCACTCCTGCACGCTACTATCCCATGTCTGGCCCATCATGGCGAGGGACAGTGCCCTTTCAGCCTCCTACCAACTACAGTCTAGAGAGACGTCAGCATATTGAGAGAGCTGGCATGCAACCCCCCTATCACATACCTGGTCCCTCAGCCCCAGATCCACCACAACACATGGAATCATCCCTGCCTTCCAGGAGGGAATCAGATCCACGTCGACAGGGAACAGTTTTTCCAGATTCCTCTAGGTGGCCTCTGTCTTATCAGGAAACACACAGGTCAGTTCAGCATAAGTATGTCCCACTAGACCCCTCTCAACATTTTGGCCCTACCAGACCAGTGGCCAGGGTGGACTACCTGCATCCTGCAGAACCCAGAATTGGTCTGCCAAGGCCTTTCCTACCCAGAGGTTACAGCTGGCCCTCACCATATCATACATCCTTCCCCCGACGAGAGCAAGACTTTCCGAGACAGGTGGACAAAGGAATGGGTGCAGTTAGGGGCTCCACAGAGACAGAAGGCCGGGATATAAGAGGTGATGGGGGCAGAGCCAGTTACGCCAGCCAGAGCAGTGGAAGAGGTAGTGTGGGACTGTATGGACACGGGCACCTACGCCAGTCTCTCTCTATCACCCCAACCTTACTCAGCTCGCCAGAGACCACAGAGGAGAGTGAGATGCACAGGGCAGACAAAGACGTGAGAGAACAGAGGTCCAAAAGGTGAAGCTGACACACAAATGCATGAGGCAAGACCTCAGCAAAGACAGCTAGAACGGTTACCAATTTCTTTTGTTTTGTACAAATTTATATCACTGTCATTTTGTACATCTCACTGTGTATTGTTGCATATGTCCTGTAGAAGTAACTGAGCCTTCGGAATCTGCTGAACCCACTGTCGAGGCAATAACTGGGACACTGTTAAGAGATAAGCCTGACGTTGTACCCAAGAGTTGGGAAAAACATGGTCAGGACCACACTGAGACCAATATTAGTCAGCACAATGCGGCTGTTCATGAGCCTTGCACACTGAACATACCTGTAGAACATGTTAAACTTGGAAGTATTCCAGTTTCTGAACCATGTTCACAATTAGAAACAAGAGATACTTGTGATAAATCAGGTACCTCAGACACAAGCAATAAAGATTTCTCACCATCTAAACAAAAGGAAAAGAGTTCTCAGCCTTTGCTTTCTCAGCGGTCTCAAAAACAAGAATTTACTCAGCGTGGTCTGGCACAGACATTAATTAACACAGCTAAAAGCATGGCAGAAATAGTTTCCAAATGTCCAGACTCTACATCTGAACAATATCAAAGACCTCAGACTCAGGGTGACTGGACAAACATGATATCCTCAAGGATCTATCAGGCTCCTGTGCCTTCCATGAAGAAGTCAGCCAGCATTGGTCCCTGTAGGACCCTCTCTGGAGTCGGGCAACCACGTCCTTTCCTAAAAAAGTCCATTAGTTTAGGTTCTAGATGGGAACATTTTGAAAATCCAAGAACTTGTGTCTCTGAGACCTGCTACAGAGATGAATTTCCCCAACCAGACATAAGGCTCAAATCATATAGTTTGGGTCGCACTCCTGCACGCTACTATCCCATGTCTGGCCCATCATGGCGAGGGACAGTGCCCTTTCAGCCTCCTACCAACTACAGTCTAGAGAGACGTCAGCATATTGAGAGAGCTGGCATGCAACCCCCCTATCACATACCTGGTCCCTCAGCCCCAGATCCACCACAAAACATGGAATCATCCCTGCCTTCCAGGAGGGAATCAGATCCACGTCGACAGGGAACAGTTTTTCCAGATTCCTCTAGGTGGCCTCTGTCTTATCAGGAAACACACAGGTCAGTTCAGCATAAGTATGTCCCACTAGACCCCTCTCAACATTTTGGCCCTACCAGACCAGTGGCCAGGGTGGACTACCTGCATCCTGCAGAACCCAGAATTGGTCTGCCAAGGCCTTTCCTACCCAGAGGTTACAGCTGGCCCTCACCATATCATACATCCTTCCCCCGACGAGAGCAAGACTTTCCGAGACAGGTGGACAAAGGAATGGGTGCAGTTAGGGGCTCCACAGAGACAGAAGGCCGGGATATAAGAGGTGATGGGGGCAGAGCCAGTTACGCCAGCCAGAGCAGTGGAAGAGGTAGTGTGGGACTGTATGGACACGGGCACCTACGCCAGTCTCTCTCTATCACCCCAACCTTACTCAGCTCGCCAGAGACCACCGAGGAGAGTGAGATGCACAGGGCAGACAAAGACGTGAGAGAACAGAGGTCCAAAAGGTGAAGCTGACACACAAATGCATGAGGCAAAACCTCAGCAAAGACAGCTAGAACGGTTACCAATTTCTTTTGTTTTGTACAAATTTATATCACTGTCATTTTGTACATCTCACTGTGTATTGTTGCATATGTGTGTGTCTAGAAGAAATACCTCTGTAGATGAGAGTTACGAGTGGGATGCTGTGGAATGCTCTGTGAATCCCGACATCCTGGAGGCCATGAAGATGGAGCGGCCCCATGCAGGTTTTGGGCGAGGCAGGGAGTTCAGGCAAGATCGCCCCCGCTCCACTACTGGCCTCCAGGACTTCCAGAGTAAACGTAAGAACTTCATCCTTCAGCTCTTTGAGCATGTTTGGTCATTCCCCACACCAAATGTAATGCCAAATTACGTTTCCCTTGAACTGAACCAGTTTAACTTTACCCATCCTACTCAAATTATCTTCCTCATCCTCCTCCTGCTCCTTTCCTCTCCTCTCAGGCCTGTACTCCGTAAGCCCTCCCATAGTATCCCAGCCTCCTCATCACCGGTACAGTCGTTCCCTTAGTGAGGCCCGCTTCAATGCCCTGAGACAGGAGTTCCAGGAGTACCTCAGGGCCCAGCAATCCTGCTCCCAAGACTCCTGCATCCCCCCTGACCCAGACTCTGACTCCAGCTCCGCACTTCTTTGAGAACCTTACCTTGGTCCGTTACCTCCCTTTAATTCCTTTGATCTATAATATCCATATTGATCTTTAACTTGTTTTAACTCAGGCTATCTGCATAATACTTCACTTTGTAGGCACAAATGTGCATGTCACTATATATAACATATACGATTCTGAAAGTGATATATTCACATATGGCTTCAAGAACAGGAATTTTTGTGTTAGCAGACATTTATAAAATGCCTTACTTATTCCCATGTTAAATTTAATGCAAACCCAAGGTTTTATTTGGTTTATCTCTTGTAGGTAACTAACTACAGTCCCTGTGTTTATATTTCCAGAGCATCCCAAGAAAGAATAAATTGGTTTTAAGTACAAACCTAACAAATCCTGAGAAAGCAAAGGATCCAGACTTGAATATCCTTGACGTATATACATCCTGAAGCCGAATAAAGAGCATTGCCATGATGCTGTAAAGGTGCATTCAGTTCCTACTGGTTTTTCTAAACTTGAAAAATGTATAGTATATGGAATGTAGCTTTTGTATCTCTGTCTTTCGTTGACTTTGTATTTATCTGTTGTCGTCAATCCCAGATTGCACTTCTATCTGTCTAGACTAAAAGATAAGGATACAGAAGTACAGTTTTAACAGAAAAGGGAAAAAAACTAATTAGAAGTATCATACAGTTTTGATACAGATTTTGTGTCTGAAATTAATATCCATTGTGGATAATGGACATGCTGGAAATATAACTGTACTTCCAAAGGGTTTTATTACATTCTCCAATCCGCAGAACCAAAACAACAGTATAGCATAAAGTCTGCTTTGACAATCAGATACTGCAGCCAAGAAAACATATATTTCAAGCAACTGAAATATATAATGTTGTTGTATTTTACATATACATGAGTGCATGTATATCTGAGTATAATGTTGCTGTTGCATATTTGTTTACCATGTGTATATTTGAGCTCCATTCTTGTGTATATTTCACCTTATCTTAAAAAATATCTGAGTATAATGTTGCTGTTGCATATTTGTTTACCATGTGTATATTTGAGCTCCTATGTGAGTTCATCTTAAACCCTTTGTCATTTTCATTTTGGTCAAGTCCCAAATTCTGTTATAATTTAAATAAAAAATTCAGTGCCAATATTGAGTTAAGAAGCTTAGGCTCCTTAATACTCAGTCAGACTCTCCTCACAATTTCTTTGTACTCTTTACTTTTGTAACTAACTTTCCCAAAGACAAACATATTTGCAGCCTGTTCTCATCTATAATTCTTCTAGATCTGTTTCACTTTAATACAAAGAACTCTGAATGACGTTGAAATGGATATTTAAAATGGCTGAATCAAAAACATAGATGCTTATGGATCTTGAAATCCATCTCAGGCTCTTTGTCAGTCTGTGTTTAGTGTTGTAAATATTTTTACTTCTCTTTTTACATTTTGTACAACTGTTCATGAATGTTTTGAGAAAACCTGAAACTGTCTTATATTTAAGATGCTGCTGTACATTTTTGTAATACATTTAAAGGTTTCCTGACATTTTTGAAAATGAGTTTAAAGTTTTGTTTTAAAAAAAGTGTTTTATATCTTCTTATATATATATATTTTTTTTTAAATAAATAAATGTTGACACTCATTTTTGTGTGTTTGTAAAATAAAATGTTCCACTAAAATGTTGCTGTCAAAATATTAACTTTTCAATTATTTATTCATTACTTCAAAAATAAGTATATGGTTTGTTTACATGTAGAGTGGGAGACAAAGTCTATGCTATATGATACATAGTACAACACAGGAGTTGCATTGTATGCTTTCCTTTATTTGCTCTCTATGTCCACATAATAGCGGATTCGGGTCAACCTAAAGTTAAGTGTGAAAGCCTTCTGGTGTCTTGCATCTCACAGGAATCACTTGGCAGTCATGCGCATGACGTGCTTGACCATGTTCCCGATGCCATCAAAGATGTAATGGTAGTGATAGTCAGTCTCCCACATGAAGGTTGGAGTGCTGATCACCTTGTTTTTCTCATCCACATAGGCCTCGTGAGATTGGCAGTTAAGGGAAAAATCACATTTTACACTTTAAAAAATGAATAAGAAGTTAAAAATGAAAGTGAAAGGATATGTAAGGTTCACGGGTGTTGTGACGGGCCCCCATGCTCTTGACCGCCTGCACCATGGTGGTGTTGGGCCAGCGGCCCCAGCGGCTGCTCTCGTCACGCTCGTAACCCATCGTGACTTCCAGATTGGGCAGCACTCGGCACGCCAGGAGAGGAGCCATGCTGGAAAGACTGAGCCAAAGACAGAGCAGGATTCAGGTCAGTTGAAAAACATTGAAACAATTGAATTGAATCATATTTACAGACCACAAGTGAAAATGCTTCTATTTGACATTTTTCTGATTTAAAGCAACTGTATGTAGCTCTGTGTATTTTTGCGACTTTGGAGCACCCTACAATTAAGTGAGTGGACTTCACTGTCGTAATTACAGAGGATAGTTGGGCCCGTGCATTTGTTGCTGCCGTAAAGCGGTCTGCTCTTTAAGCGGTATTTCGTTCCTCGCAGTGTTGCCAACTTAGCAATTTTGTTGCTAGATTTAGCAACTTTTCAGACTAGCCTAGCAACTTTTTTTTCAAAAAGCACCTAGCAACAAATTGAGCTATTTTTTTAAAGTTTTTGGCAACTTTTGTAAAGTGACGCAAATGATAAAAAATACATATTTTCATCTAAATTACACAAAAAGAGGAAACCATTGAACAGCTAGCCAGCCAAGCAGCACATCAACCTGGAGAGAGCTGGAGAAAGATGCCTAACAGTACAAACAAATGTGCATTAAGTTGCTAGTTCCAATTGGTCAATAATAAATGCACATTTATGATACAGCATGTTATTAGCTTGTAATTGTTGTTCAGTTAGGAACCCTGTAAGAAAAAATATGTGGAAAAACTGAAAAAGTACTAGTCATTTTCTGCCAGGATGTTATCCATTAAGTTGTAACCTGTAACCTTAAAACACAAAATGCAATGTGGAATTTAAAACCCAGGTAAAACACCTGTAAAAAATAAATACATATTGTCCCTTCATATAAACAGTACATTGTGTCCTATTTTTATAGACTTTTGTGTAGCACACTAATTAACTAGTACACTGCTTAAATCTATAATTGTTCAGAATGTGCCGTTTTACTAGTTAATAAGAAAATACATCAAATGTGTAACTGTTCAATAATTCAATGTTGTAAAAAAATCAGATCATAAAGATGTGCTACTTATGTTACTTTTACAAATTAAAATATTTTGTGTTTATAATATTTTTATGAACAAATAACATTTAAAAAGTATTTTTCGCTGAGATTTGAGTAATATCGTGGTGTGTATTCCACATACAAATGCTGTTTTGTGCAATGACGTCATCACGCAATGACATCACAACGTCATTTAGCAACTTTTAGCAACAAATCATTCTGCCTTTAGCAACTTCCACTGAAAATTACTTGGCAACACTGGTTCCCCGCAAACTTAGTCCAAGAAGAGACGTTTGGTGGAGAAAACATATATATAGAATATATACCAGAATTAAAAAAATGTAGGTGAAGCAAGAAAATGTGTCCCTCTATACCCAACAGTGATCAGTATGTAGTATAAACAAGGATTAAATTCAGATCTTATATTCACAGTTTTAATATTTTAGAGTCATATACCCAATGGGCTTGCGAGCGCGGTGGAAGTCCTTCATAATTCTTTCCACATCATTGTTCAGCTTGCAGTCTTTGCCGTCCTTGCTGAAGGTGGACCTGCTCATGAAATATAAAAGTCAGCAGAAATGCAGTGTTGACACTACTTTTTTTCCCCCCCGCTAATATTTTTATATTTAAACATGACATATGAGGAAAAGATTGAGATTTTTTCCCCCCTCTGCTCAAATCAACCCTTCACTTCTTGAAACCTTGAAGGAACTTCCTCACTTCAGATCTTCAGTTTCTAAAGGTGCTGAAGTGTAATTGGGCAATCTGAAACCGGATTGGGCTCAGACGAGGATTAGTCTCATCCATCGCCTTTATTTCCACTTAGCCTTAACCAATTGTTTGCCAATAGTGAAACATGATAAGAGGATTTTCGCTCCAGGAATAGAGGTAGATCTGAGATGACTAATAGTGAAAAGGCCAATCCGCACATAATCTGAGAGTCATCAAAGTTTAAGTATGTTTAGATGGACTCCATAGTGAACTCTTGATGGTCTATACGAGCATCTCGCCCGTCCAGATAATGCACTTCTTTTGGCACGGATTTCTTTTCAGTGACATTTATATTTGCATTAGCATTCATCAGCTAAAAGACTGTCTCTCTCACAGGTTCTTGACTACTCCGTGGCCTCCAGGGAAGATGACGGCGTCAAAGCTGCTGACGTCCAGTTTAGACAGATCGTTCATCTGCATCATGCCCTGACCATGGCTGAATCGCGCAGACTCCATCATCATGTTCCTGCGGAGAGAGAACTCTTTTATCAGATGATCATGGTACTTTAAAATATACTTTAATGGGAACTATCACAACAATCATGTAACGCTCTTCAAACAAAATTCCATGCAGCACATCCAAAAAGCAATGACATTCCCATAAAACATAATGTTCCTTAGTACATTTGTTATATTTTCACAAGATGAGTGAAATGCGCAGAATGGGAATATGAAAGGTTGTGTAAACAGTATATTTAATGTTATATTTCATTTTAGTGATGTCTACCTGTTGTCACTTGATGATGGCTGCATCTTCATGTGGTCCATGACGTGCATTTGCTGCTGGTTTGGGGCAAAGATCTGAAAACGGGCTCCATTACGGCTCAAGTGGTACATGGTGCTTCAAAGAGACACGGCATTATTTATTAATGATACTTGATTCTGATTGGTCAATTACAGCATTTAACTGTCAAAAATATTTGTAAGCTCAAGCACTGAACTAAACCAGGTAACCAAAATAAATAATTTCAGCTCGGAAAAACTAAAAAAATTATTTATTTGGCAAGTAGTCTTACTGAAGCTTATTTAGTGATATTTAGTGACTGTGTATTATCCCATACAATCCACACAGGTCCATACGTTATAAAAATATAAGAGCATTCAGCCATTGACAGACATGTTTTGAATGGTGCTACTGCAAACGATCATTTTTAAATAATTTTTTTAAACGACTATAATTATTACTTTTCCAATTTATAAGATGTTTCTCAAAAAAAGTATCTCAGATCTATTTCTACCTCATTTGCGAATCGTATTTTCTTGACTTAGTCAGAAATGGAACAAAATTCACTGATGAATATTGTTATTTTTGTAGCTTAAACCTACAAAAATATATTTCTCAATAGGGAACCAAAACTAAATGTAATCTCAGTCTTATCTGACTCGAAAGTACTTATTTGTAAACATTAGTTAACTACATTAGTTAACATGAACTAAGAACGAACAATACTTTTATTACGCTTAATGTTAATCTCAACATTTACTACTACATTATTTCACATGAACATTTTTAACTAACATTTAACAAAGGTTAATACATGTTGTGAAATATATTGCTCAATGTTAACAAATGAGACCTTATTGTAAATGGAGCTTGTTTTAAGGATTCTTCTATGTTTTACTGATAAACGACCAAAATGATGATACAGGGAATGATATTTTGAAGCGCACACTGCTGAATACTTACTACGCAGCCTCATGGATGTCAGTTCCATCCCACCAACCGCAGCCTGAGAAAACCTTCAAAAGCAGATCCAGTTACAAATTCAAAACCAAACGGAGACTATATATCTTATAGCGAACAAGAGATTCAAGACTGAATGCTTCCCTGCCAGTTTGTGTGTGTACTTACCACAGCGATGTTGGTGTTGCCCCAGTTGCCCCAGTCTCCCCCATGATGCATCAGGCAGGCGGGTTGGCGCACCAGCATGGCTGCGGCCTGCTTGGCGAGGAGTGCCCGTGATGCCAACATGATCACACTGCTGAGTTTACAACACAGAGATCAACCGCTAGAGAGCTGTGCAGACTGAACTCAGCGTGTCTGATCCTGCAGCAGAAGAAGCCCAGCTCTTTTATACTAATGTTGACTGCGAGACGTCACTCTGTAAGCTACGCTTCTGAGAAGATAAGATACTTTGTCTGAACAACCCTTTTCCTTTCTTCATTGCTTATCTAATAATACCTTCCTCAATTATCTTATTGCCTTAAGTCATTTGGTCAACACCCGGCCGTTGATGCTTTGCTGGGGCTGCGGCCGTTTACCTGCATTTACCTCCCTAAACAGTCTGTCTGTCTGACCCGTCTGACCTTTCGCCTCACTCGCAGCTCCACGGTTGCCTAAACTCTTGAAGTTATAATTAATAATAAATAAAAAATAAAATATGCGTTTATAAGTAATATATAAAATTTTATAATTTTTATTTTTTTTACATGTACAAGAGTTTAGGTAATTTCACAATTTATTATATATATAATATAATATATATAATTTAATATTTAGGGTCCACACTGAAAATCTTTAGCCCTAAAACTTTTTAGAGAGAGAGAGAAAATGGCTAAGCAGTTTTTATGTCAGTTGTAGTTATTTTCGTACATAAACTAGATTAAAATAGGAAATGTTGCCTTGGCAAGTAGTTACAATAAACATTTTTTTAATTTATT